CCTGAAACCGGGCCGTGCTGCCCGGCTGTGGGGCTCACTCGCATCCCCCTCCCGATGCATCGCTGGGAATTTCTGGTGGGAGCCGGCGTCCTGCAGGGCGCTGAGAAGTACGGCTCTGGGGAGGTGTGTGTGTGTGGGGGTAAGAAATGGCACTTGGCAGTGCTTTCCTTACAGAATTAGCTGAAAACATGATATTTGCAAAAATCAATGCTGACTACTTACTCTTCCTTTAAAGACACTCTTCAGCACCCCCCTTTTTTTTATCTTCTCCTGTTCGTTTAACTAACCTGCTTTCTCTTGTTGCCTTTAGAGCATACCACTGGATGATAAACCAGATCAAGTGTCTTGGACTGAAATGGGACAGGGTACCAATGAAGGAAAGCAAAGAAGAGAGCTGGAAGCAGCTTGGTTTTCTCCAAGCCTGTTGAGGCTGCTGAGCAAAGAGCCCTGAGCTTTGCCTGAGATGCATTTAAAGAAAAACCAAAGACTTTCGTAAAGGACTTCTAGCAAAGCGGCCACGTGTTTTAAGTGGCATGGCTTTGCGAACGATTATCTTCTATTTATGAGACGCGAGGAAGATTCAACACTGACTGGTGGTGTTAAGCGCAATTTAAATTATTTGTAGTATCTATATTTGTATTTATTTTGAAGAATGTCTTTCAGCAGTTACTGGTCTTAATATTGCTTTTGCATTAATATGTCCATTCCGAATAAATTACTTGAAATGTTCACTTTTTATTACTACGCTCTGGGCTGTAGTAACTTTTGTTGATGTATATTTGTGGAGTGGGCAGTGGTGTGGTGGCTTTAAAAGAGTGGGTAAGCTCAGCTTCTTGATGCCCTGGACTAGGCAGTGGGACGTAGAGAAAGCCCAGATAACCCATTTGCGTTTGACCTCATCGAACCTTGAGCAGGGACAGAAAGTGTGTTGAGGTTCGATTCTGGTCAGTGGTGGAAATAGGAAAGCTTACCACAGCTTGGATAAGTGCTCCTTATGAAGTGCTTTCCCACACAATTGAGTAATGGTGGCTAGAGAAGGCACAAGAGCTCCCTGCAACAGTAAAATGCTGCTCTTTGCTAATGCCCCCTGTCCTTTCCCTGGCCCCTGTAGATTAGTTCTGTGCTAAGGCAGGAAACTGGATTCTGTATTTTGGAATAGCACTACTGAACGTCTTGCTCTCTTCTTTTCCTCTACCTCTTCAGTCTCTAGATTGAGTTAAATTTCTACAGGATAACTGGGAAGAATGGAGACAGTCTTTTTTCCTATAGCACCTGGACCAAGAAGCTTGGAGAAAAAAAGCAGCTACTTTTTTTGGATAAAAGCACTGAAGTTTTATCTTGCGAGGCTCAACTATCACTAAGTAACCTAGGCTTCCTTGAGAGCAATGCTGCAGCACGTGACTCTGCTCTGGCAGTCAGGACTACAAGCTGAGCAGGCAAAGTACTCGCTACTAATGCTCCAAATTTGGCAATCCCAGTCAGGTAATTTCCCCCTCCCAATAACAGTGCAATTCTTGCAGGAGACTTTGTACTGGAGGAAGTTGCAAAATCTGTAATTACAAACAGCCTGTAGTAAGAGCAAGGGAGACTCAGTATAGGGAACAAGAAAAAAAACCTAGAAGGAGGGTTGGCTTCCATTTCTGGAAGCAGCAGCGAGACCGGCACTGTAGCATGCTCCATCAGGGCTTTGCATCCTCCTTGCATGCCGCTGGCAGCTATGCTGCCGCCCGCCGGGCTTCTGCAGAGGCAGGGTTGCACATGATTGAGCTGTGGATGTAGCAAATCATTGCCCACAGCATTTGCAAACCTTTGGCCTTGATCCCCTTCAGCACTAGAATGCCAGATGTGCATTTAATGCAGCAAAATGGCACTTGAAAGGAGATACCTTTTACCCCCAATTTTCCTTGGCACCATTGCAGGGGTGAAATAGAAGGCCAAACCAGAGCAAAGGCACTAGCTCCTAATCCCCTTAGTTTCTGTGAATCCAAGCAGGAAGGCTGACTAACAACAGCTGAGGATCTGGAGCTATTGCCTGCAATGACAGCCACCACAGAGGGAGGAACCTGATAGCTCCCAGGGTCCCTCGGCTGCCAGTTGCTCCGGCATAGCTTTAAGGCCTTCACAAACCCATCTGTCGCTGACTCTAGAAACAAATGCTGATGAAATGAAGCTATTGTTCAAGTGGTTTTATTCCAGGTTTATGGAATCAAAAATGAAACTCAAGACATCCTTATGGAAAAAGGAGGATACTTTCTTGCAACTGAATTACTGGCTTTTCATCTCTGTCAGTGGGATTTTACTCTTTAAGAGGTAAACAAATAAACCTATATTGAGAATTAGCTGTAAATAGCCAAAGGAAGAGACACCAAAATGTTTGTATAAAACTCCACCGATGGTTGGGCCCACTGTTCGGGTCAAGGGCTGCACTGAGGCACAAATCCCGAGCATGGTACCTAGGAGAGATGGCAGAGACACACAGATGTTGTTAGGGTGAGAGCAAGTCTTGGGATGGAGAAGTGGAGAACATGCAGGATCCCCTTCATCCCTGATGGTGTTCTTCTGCAGTAGTAGCAAATAACTTTAAATAATCATCTCTTGCATTAATTTATAGAAGTCCAATTAGGGTTTGTTCAGGCTAAGGACTCCTGGAGGCATGGGGACTAGTTTCCACCACGAGCCAGCTCACCTCTTTACTGAGCAATCCGGATGACCGTAACGCTGCCCAAAAGGCAAGCCGGTGCTCACCTCTACCTTTACCAGGGTCCAAGGATGCCTTTGGCTGCAGAAAATGCTTTCAAACCTTGCACCCAGCAGGGCTGGTAGCTACTGTATGGGGTTAGGGGTGAAGAGGTAATTTCTAGGGTTGTGGCTGAGACTTCCAAATGAATCACACAGATTCTTCCAACACCTTAACACCCTAGAGGGCCCTGTTCTGCCCAAGCTGCTGTTGCCATTTATTCTCAAGTAGGACAGAAGAACAGCTATTGAGGGCTTAGCAGTTGTGAGAAGCTTAGGTCTAACTAGGTCTTTAAAAATAAATAAATAAAACCACAGATAAAGACTGAACCCCCTTGAGATAGTCCTCCTCCTCCTCCCTACCCTTTTGCAAAAAGAATGGATATTTCCATTTGGATGAAAATGTGAGCCTTTCACCCGGCTGGGCTGGCTCCCCCTCCAGCAGCTCTCCATTTGCATCCTTAACAGGAACCTGGTGGATGGGGAAGCACCTCCAGTTTGCCAAAGGCAGGTCTTTTCCCACATGCAGACGGATAGCCAGGTCATCCCACAGGACGCAAAGCTGGCCCTCATGCACCTGGCATGCTCTTCACCATGTGGTCTTCATGCAGGACAGCTATCACAGTCAGGGGAGCAGAAAATACCCAGCCAGCCAGAAAATCATTAGCCCCCAACACCAGGAGGAAAGGCAAGCTGGCAGCTATGCAAGAAACTTGTGCCCTGCTCTGAAATTATGTTTGCAATTATATTTTTTTTAATATCAGTACAATTATTTAGGCTGCTGGCATCAATTTTCCACTAAGACATGCATCGAGGCATTGTTGCTGCACAAGGCCAGCAGCATCTGGGAAGGATGTGGAGGATGCTGTCCCGCATGTGAGAAGATGTGGAGCCAAGTGTGATATTTAATGTGGGTAGCCATGGGGAAATGATCCCCGGCTCTGAGAGAGAAGAGGCAGCCAGGTGCTCGTGTAATGCCGGCCAGCGACTGCTGGGCTTTTATCAGCATGCTTAAAATACTTGTGCAATGATCCCGAGCCGAGGGCGTAGCTGCGCGGAGAGGGAAATCTCCCGGGAAGCGCTGCCGAGCTCTCCTCCCGCGCATGGGAACACAAAGGCAATGGGTGGGACCTCGCCTTGACCCTTTGCCAATGGGAACCATCCCACAACCACCAAACTTTCTGGGCAGGTTTTGCAATTATTTTTTCCCCTCTAGCTATCTGAATTAAACTAATTACTACGTACGATTGCCAAACTGGCTCTTATGATTGAGGAGGCAGGTTTTTTTCCTTTCCTTTTTTTTTTTTCTGGAGCAGAAATCCATCCTCTTAAAAGGCTGGGCTCTCCCTCTGGACTTCTCCAGCATGTTGCTGAGAAAGATAATTTCTGTTTAATGGGCTTAAATTAGATCCCTCGTGTCAGACGCCCTCAAGCTTTGGGACATTGTACATCTCACCTCTGCAGCATGGCCTTAGCTCTACTGCAAAGCTGCATATGTGATGGATCCCATTTAAGTCAATACCTTTAACTGGGACAAGTCACCACGTCAGCAGAAAAATTCCTGTCACTTTGCGCAGCTCTGCCAATGCACATGCTCACCCTCCTTATCATGGCTATCCCACTTCCTACACCTTCCGTGCCCCTTTTTCTTTCTCCCCAGCTTTTTCCTCCCCTTTTCCCATACCTGGCATGACCCGTCCTGGTTGGGAGCCCATCCTCTCCTCCTGCCCCAGCCCTCCTCTCCTCCCGCAGGTTTCAGGGTTGGGTGCTGGCAGCTCCCCAAGCCGGGCGGCTCCATCTCTCCTCCCACCCTCTGCTGTGCAGGGCACCCTGGCTCACCCTCCTTTCCAGCTCACATCCTGTTGTCACGCTTAGATGATGGTGCTGGCCCACATCAGCCACATGCCTGCAGGGCAATCACAGGGCCTGACTTAAGGATTAGGTCATCTCTACCAGTGGCCGCCTTCGAACCAGCAAAACCCAAGCAAAGCTGGGGGGTTCGATGTGCCGAGCCCTGCCCGGCTGCAAGCTCTCCTCCTAAGGTTTTGCGTCTGACGTGCAAATAAATCATGAAACATGGGCCCACCATACAGGGAGGCTCTGCTGGGCTTCCTCCCTCCCCTGGGGCGGGGGGTGTGTGTGTGTGCAGAAACAAGACTTCCATTCTTGGGGAGGGACTGGGGTTGACAAGGGGTTCTTGTGCAGATGCAAGCCCCCCTGGGTTCAGGGCTGTCCTCCCACCAGCTCACAGGCCCAGCTGAAGAGCACGTGCGTGTGGGGCAGAGTTTTCCCTTCCTGCCTTTGAAGATGAGGAGAGGGGGGAAAAAATATCAAAGGGAAATGAATGAAATCATTTCCGCTATCTTCGCTTCAGTGCAAAGCCCCAGCCATAAGCAAAGAGTAAATGGCAAACTCATCAGCCTTGGTAGGAAGTGACCTCGGCTCAGACCTGAAAGCAGGATGGTGGATGCAGGGATGGTGCCATCCTACATCCCAGTGTTGCCTTTCTGAGACACCTATTTAAAAGGTAAGGATGGGTGACTCAGTGTCTAGCAAGGATGGACAGGTTACCCTCCTGCAACGCCCCATCCGCTCCAGCCTTGTGATGAGGTGGACACCTGAGCTCAGCCCGAACTCCAGATCCTCAGAAAGCCTCTCCCTGGCCCAAAGAACAATCTCCAGAGGCTTTACCAGTCCCAGGCTGGAAAAAACATCAGGAAAAGACAGGAGAAAGTCTCAAAAAGTGATGTTTCCAAAGGCAAATTCTCAACATGTATTTCCTTGCTCTAACTAGAAGTTGTTGCAAGCTAGCGCTCAGGTTTTTAACACAGCGACAGCAAGGCTTTTGCATAAAGCCAGATTTCCATGCTCTTAGAAAAGTAGGGATTTCTAACATGCCCCCAAAATGCTCACTGTGCAGAGCCGGTCTCGGGCTCACATAGGAAGGAACAGCCTTTGAGCTGCTGCATGGGTGGAGCAGGCGTTGCGGGGTGCCACCCACAGCTAGAGAAGGGATGGCAGGCATTTTAATAGCCGCTTTTCGCTGCAAGACACCCACACTGTCACTGCCGCAGCTGCTGTGGAGAGGCAGCTCGCAGCTCTGCTGTGTCAGGCATT